TATTAATCTTAACGATATAATTTTTTTAATTCTCATAAAATTTCCAAAACCTCCAAAAAAATTACAAATTTAAAAATCGTTAATTTCCGAACTATTTTTATTTTTTTAGCTTCGATGCGAAGCGGAGAAGGTATTAATTTTACTATGATGTGTTTTTTTTTTTTTATGTCTGTTGCCACTTTTTCTCAGCTCTCACTGGACCGATTTCTTTCAAAAATACGTCAAAAGATCACAAATCGTATCTAGTTGAAGACATTACCCTTAAAAATTGAAAAAAATTCCCTCGTTCCCCGCAAATGGGGGAAATATCCAAAAAAATTACAAATTTAAAAATCGCTAATTTTCGAAATTTTTTCACTTTTTTTTCTTAAAACTTCCATAACTTTTTGAAAAATCAACAAATCAACATAATTTTTTTTTATACTAAAACCTTAGATATTTACCTTTCATTTGATATCATTTTTTTGAAAATCTATCACTTAACCTGCTCATTGGGGGGGATTTAAAATGGCAACTTTTTTACAAAAATTAACTTTTTCAACTTAATTTTTGAAAATGTTTCGGAAATACTGCGTCCTTCAAACATATATCAAATTAAAGCTTATTTTATGTACTATAAAATGAAAAAAAAAAATTTGTCCCGACACTTTTTCTTCTACATTTAAACGGCTGCCGTAGTTAAAAAAACACTATTTTTGTGTTAAAATTTTCGATTTTCGATTTTAAATTTTCAACTTAAAAATGCTATAACTTTTTGAAAAATGTATATATCAGCACAAATTTTTTTTTTCTAAATACATTATAAGTACATCTTTCATTTGACATACTTTTTATTAAAATTGGACAATTTCCCCTTATATAGGGGGCGTTCAAAACTTAAAATATTGTAAAAAACATAGATCTTTTTCAACTGAACTTTTGAAAATGTTCCGGAAATACTGCGTCCTTTAAACATATATCAAATTAAAGCTTATTTTATGTACTATAAAATGAAAAAAAAAAATTTGTCCCGACACTTTTTCTTCTACATTTAAACGGCTGCCGTAGTTAAAAAAACGTTAATTTTGTGTTAAAATTTTCGATTTTAAAGTTTCAACTTAAAAGTGCTATAACGAAAAATGTATGTATCAGCACAATTTTTTTTTTCTAAATACATTATAAGTACATCCTTCATTTGACATACTTTTTATTAAAATTGGACAATTTCCCCATATATAGGGGGCGATTAAAACTTGAAATATTGTACAAAAAAGAACTTTTTCAACTGAACTTTTGAAAATGTTCCGGAAATACTGCGTCCTTTAAACATATATAAAATTAAAGCTTATTTTATGTACTAAAAAATAAAAAAAAAAATTTGTCCCGACGACCTATCTTCTATACGCAAATAGCTACCATATTCAAAAATATGCTATTTTTGTATGAAAATTATAAGTTTTGTATTTTATTTTAATAGAAGTTGATGTTGCTTTTGCAATTATCCATCAATTTTTTAAAATTAAACACTATCTACAGATTTGCATCGAAGCGTTTTTTATGATAGTGATTTTAATCACTGTCAGATTAAATCTATACTGGACCCAACTATGCAATGTCTCCACTATGCCGCGACCCCACTGTGCTACCGTTTTTTTTTTTTTAACTGCCATAACATTTTCAAAAATGAACAAATCAATGTAATTTTTTTTCATAGATGCTTGATGTCTTTACCTATTATTTGGTATATATTTTTTATAAATCTGACCCTTTACCACCTGCCCACAGGGGAGGATTTAAAATGACAACTTTTTTACAAAAATTTAACTTTTTCAACTTAATTTTTGAAAGTGTTCTGGAAAGTCTGACACTTTTATATGTATCTTAAATTAATGCTAATGTAATGTATTTTATTATGAAAAAAAAAAAATTTCGTACTTTATTTTGTCTTCACGGTGAATACGTTCAATCACTGTAAGTTTTTAGAACGACGGACAACGATAAATCGTATGAGTTAGTTTACAATAATAACACATAACGCTACTGCATTTGTTTTACGATAATTTTTTTTTTTGATAGTATTGGTTGTAGTAGGAACATTTTGAATGGAATGAGAACTATCATTGATGCTGATATTATCAAATACATAAAATTTCTTTATTAGTTTATCGCATTCTGCTAAAACGACGAAATAAATATCTTCCATCTCTTCTCTATACTTACCCGTTTCATCAGTAATCCTAGTAAGTTCTTCTATTTCGGCTTGAACTGATTCGTAATCTTGTCAGACCTCCAATATCCTATCTCGCCGTAAAATTTTTTGACTGGTATCAATGTTTTCTTCTTCATTTTTTCTATCAACAAATGGCTTTTGAACTGACCGCGACGAATATTCAGCAGTACTTGATCTGTCATAACGGTTGATATCTATACAGATCGTCAATATTATAACTAGATTACAATAACGCTCTATTGCATTAAATGTAGAGTGTACTATATAAAGTTTCGAATAAAAAAACCAATGGTTTTTCTATAATAGCACACGTTACACGAATTATGGCGTTTTTACCGTAACACCAGGAATAGCACGAGACGAGAATTAGAACTTACAAGTCTATTCTTAAACGAATCTCGAACTAATTACGAATGGATATAAGATAAATAAAAAAATAAAAATACGAAACACACCTTAGACGATACACTTACGCACTTAATCGAAACAAACGTACGACGACGATGCGATAACAAAACTTACAAATTTAAATTATATACTAATTTATCGATGCGGCACGATGGACCAAATGTTGCGAACTCGTTCAATACGTATAATAAATAAATAAAATAATAATAAATGCGAATATTAAAGTCTACTATGAAGTCCACTATGACTGTATCGTCTTAGTAATAATTATTCTTGTAAGCCGGCGACTTGTCAGCGCACGAACGTAGATCGAACATAACTGTTTATTGCAATGGTCGGCGACCATCATTATTATTTTTATCGCTTAATATTAATGATGGGCATAATCGAATGATTTCGATAATCAAATGATTAGTAATCGAGACATTTTCATAATCGAGTGAATCTCTCGAAGTTAAAATCGTCTGCTCGTATGATAAGAATAATCAACTATTATTTTTTATCTAGAGAATCGAAAAATTATTCGAAATATGAATAAATATACCTATAGTAAATAATTATTAATTTAATTTTGCTTTTTTTATTTGTTGGTGTTTATTTATAATTATTATATTAAACTATAATTTAGGAATAATAATAACAATAATATATTAATAATAAATGCTTTAAATAAAAGACAAGTTGTTATTTTTATTATTTAATAATTATTACCTATATTTTAAAAAAACCGATAACAAATTTAAAAATAAAAACATAAGATAAGGTAGCAATAGCCGGCTTGACCATCATAATTAAAACACCTGATTCCACACCTAATTGATTTTTCATAAATACACAACTAGTGATATAATCAGAACTCAGTAGTTTAGCCAGTTCAGGACAAAACTTTGTTCTAATCGTCACATACTTCCCAAAAATGTGACAGATAAGGTGTTGCCATGAGTAGCGATTGAACGAGTTGAAAATAAGAAGACTCGAAGTCAACAATTTAATAATAATTCGACTATAATTTATGCTAAATAAAAACTTAAAAATAGTATTCTCTCGTTTCATCGTTTCATGGACATCATTCGAAATAACTTTTATTCGATTATATACATTTCAAGATCAAGAAATCATTGTTTTTATAATAAACGAGAAATCATTAGAAATAATCACTCGATTATAGAATAATCAATATTATTTAAAAAATCAGAATATCTCGATTATATAATAGATATGATTTCAATAATCGAAATATCTCGATTATTTTCATAATCGAGATATCTCGATTATATATCTCGATTATGCCCATCACTANTAATAGTATGATAACGAACGCGAACAGGGGTTGTTTAAAGTCTCCTTCCTTACCTTAAAGTTCCTATTGTATTGAAAGTCTAATGCAATTGGAGGATCCTTATCATTATAATTATTCGTTAATAGACAGTATTCAATTATAACGCTTTTTTATTATATTAATTAATATGTACTAATTAGCGATAAGGATTATATTTTTCCATCAGATAATATATATTGCTACGATATTCATCTATTCCCGAAATTTCATAATTTTAGCTTCGATGCGAAGCTGAGAAGGTATTGGTTTTACTAAGATGTGTTTTTTAGCTTCGATGCGAAGCTGAGAAGGTATTAATTTTACTATGATGTGTTTTTTTTT